TTGAATCGTGTAATGGAATTCAACACCCCCAAAACTATAACTTGACCTGAAATCTTATTCCATTGACAGTTTGTCAGAAAAACATTAGTGCCCATTTTCCTCTCTTGTGAGCCACTGCGTGTCGCTCAGCACCTGCACATGTGTGCATGAAAGTGCTCTTCGGGAGAAAACGCTTTCTAATATGTTCTTCCTACGGTATTCATTGCTTCAGGTCTCGCCCTGAGTCTGCGTGTTGGAAAAGTATCCGTATCCGGGACCCTAGTTACTTTGAAAATCTTCGTAACGCCTTATTGTTTGGTTTAAGATATTACGTGTATTTAATTTTACATTGAATTGTCTTTTCCTAATCTCTATGATTAATTAATTATACAACATTATTACAATTCTACAATTTTATTGCTACCACAATCATTATTAAATTGTCTCTTTCCTACTTAATGTGATAATTCTATTGCATATTTAAACAATGTCTTGATTTGCGTTCATTAAGGCAGACATTTCGTAATACTCGTTGATTTTACTTCAGTACACAGATTCATTGAAATTCTAGGAAGAAGTAATTAGCATCATAATAAATTCTGCTAAGACTGGTTTTGCTACTTTGTCCGTTTTTTCGCAGTTATTTCGCTTAACAATGTATTTTCTTTTACTCAATTTCTATTTTTTATTGGAATCGCATTGTTATTGTCCATTTTCGAGAATATTCGACCATGTGCAACTGTCTCTACTTTTCCACACGAGGTTATTAGATCAAGAAGCAGCTGATTCCTCTCGAAGCAAGAGTTGTCCAAAACGATATTGTGTGTTGACATCGGTTTTACGTCTAACAAAAGATATAAAACACATACTTAACTAATATTTAAAATCACAAATACATTTTTGGCCCAGCGCGCAATTCTTCACTAAAAACATATATCACGAACGTTGTATCTTAGTATTTCTAAAAATATGTTCTTCATTTTCAGTACATTAATATTAGAGAAAGCAGATTCGTAAGCGTATTTAAGTCTTCTGCAAAATATTGCAGGATTTGTAATGAGTATTCAAGAAAACTCAGAAGCGTAGTACTTTCCACCGCCGATTTACTCATTTTATATCCAGTTGACAGGCGGACTGAGTGGGAATGTGAATTAGGAACCGTCACACTATCCAAAGCTACTATTATATTCGTAGTAGCAAAATATCCGCTGTTGCCTGGGCTTGTTTCATATCCAATTCGTGGGAAAATGAAAAAGATCAATTTTATATAGATCACTGTGTTTAAGATTATAATTTTTAATGTAATTGGTTCAAATTGTAGTAAAATATTAAAAATTGCATTCATTTTATATTATGGTATATTGCAATTAGATTAAAAAATTGAATCTTACGCACTGTTACTAGCCTCTGGTGGAATGTATTAGGACCCATTTCTTCTTAGCGACAGGAAAAAAAATTGATCCTGGTGCATCTACCAATATTTTTATTACGACAATCCTGAAGACAAATATATGAAAATTCCACATCTATTCATAAACTACTTTTTATAGTACTTATTTAGGTAGGTTGCATGTCGTCGAATTCACTTTTATTAGTAAACATACGTATAATATACGAACTGCTAATATTAAAATATACGCAAAACCATTGCAATGCCTTCATTATTTTAATTTTCCATCAACTCGTGTGTGCTATCTGGCAAGGCTATTGGGCGCTATCGTGGCATCAGAGGATATTAAATGGCGGCAGTCGTTCATGTTGCGCTCCCGTCGCCGTTCAGGTGCCTAGGCGTCTAGGGCTTCTGCTGAAGAGCGATCCTCGCGGCGGAGAGATAAACCTCCGTCGAATTGAGGATGAATGCGTAGTTGTAAATGAATGTGGCGAGGAAGACGCTTCTGGGAAGGAGAGAAAATAAGTTATATAACTCAAGGACAAGCAACCATCCGAAGCGGGCTGTATTCATCTCAACATTTCATTACGAAGATTCCGACAAGCAAGTGGGAATGGTGTCGCCTTACACGTGCGAGACAGTAGTATGTTTTGTAATATGAAGGCGCTTAGAATAACTTAAGAGGACTATTCCACTCGTGAAATTTAAACCAATAGTGCGTTAACTATACATATAAAATCCCCCCATTAGAGCAGTGTATCTAAGGAAATTATCGCTTTTTCTAGCAGATTTTTCTTACTTCTCCTCCCTATTGGCCAATAATAAGCTGCAACTCATATGTCACAGGAAGCGGTGTGTATCGATCGTTGTGTTGACGTATGTACTATAACATAACCTCTTTGATTGAGTTCCGACGGTGTCCGGATTTTCGACACTAGCTTGTCAGCTAGATTGAATTCAGTCGCTGTCTGTGGGAGAATTCTAGCGGTCGACTGCACTGATCGATAGTTTTCCTAGGATAATCCAACAAAAATATTCCAGAATATTGATATCGCCTGTTTAAGTAATAATACAGCCAGGGTCGGATTTACCTACAAGCAAAACAAGCAGTTGCTTGGGGGCCCCCATTCACCAGGGGCCCTGCGTTCGGAAAATACTGTAAATGATAATAAAAAAAATATGTAAAATGTATTTAATGTAAAAAGATGTAACAGAAGTAAAAATTTCATAAACAATTATCAGTTTTCATTTGTATCTGTACAGAAAACTTGTACTATAATACATTTTTTATTAAATAAAGATGGAGCTATTTTTTAGGGAGGGGGGCACCCAATTTTGTTGCTTGGGGCCCCGCACACTTAATGTACTTAAATCCGGCCCTGAATACAGCCCTTTTTCTTCTTTTAAGAGTATATTTTAGATGTCTAATCTAGAAACTTTTATGGTCTGTACAATGTGAAATTATTACAATAATATTAAGATAATGCTCGGAGCTTGAAGTGAAGATTCAGATCAAAGCACATCATTTTTTATAAAGAACTTTTAAATTTATGGCACCACTTTGCTCTCAATATGCAAAGTACATCAACACCCTGTTTTTGTGCCTTTTTCTGTAGCAGAAAATCGAAACTATATTGTAAATGAAAGTTCAGCTACATGTCTTTGTTTATTTTAAAAAAAATATTTAAGGTCGCATTAACATCTAGGTCATTATCGACATTCATTGTACTTAACGTTATGTAACTATGAACATGACATGATATGGTGATGATGATATGGGATGAAAAGACGAACAGAAATACAACCATGCCCGAGGCAAGACGCGAACCCAGGATCCTTCAGTCCGAGTTTTGTATTTTTGTTTACATGTTCAGAATATCCTAAAAATTGCAATACGTGTTCGTCTTCTAACAATAATTAAGTAGGGATTCTTTTAAACTATTATAAATAAAATGTTCACATGTATGATAAGTTAGTTGTTATTTTACATAAAAAATACAATAGGTAAAAAATGACGATCTACAGTTTTCCATTTCTCTAAATATTATAATTGTTTAATGTTTGAACTTTTCATTTTAAACACGTGAGAATTCCACATAAATGCACACTTCTGAAATTGAGCATGTTCACTTTATTTCATAAAAGACTGAAAAAGTACTTTTCAATGTGAAATTTCCTTACAATTGGCACAGGAAACACCAGTGTAGCAGCAACTGAATATATTCACTCCACTGGCCGACCAGAATCACTTCAACATCAATTTCCTTCCCAAGTCTCAAACCAGCCGCTGAAAGCTTTCTGAGAAGGCAACGGTTCCTCGTACATCGACATCTCAGACGTCTTCTTTCCGCTGCTGCAGTGAATGCAACCACCATGGACGAGAAGGGGAGTGGTGAAAGAGACGGTGGCTCCACCTCCGGGTAATTAACCCTGTTTTCCAATGATCAACCGCATTGGAGCGTGTTAAAATGAGGTGGCGGTAGCAGTTGGACGGGTAAAGTGGACTGTGAAGTAGACTGCAGTGGATGTACTGCTTGTTTTCTTCGGTTCGTGGAGGAGGTGCAGCTGCACTGATGGAGTCTCAGAGCGAGATTCGAGTAGGAAGACGTTCGGCACCTGTGAATCTGCAGGGCCGCTGAAGACGCTTGCCCCCCACCAAATCTGACGGAAGTGGTTGAGATCACGGGTTTCTGATTCGGAGAGCCCGAGGCAGAGGTGCGGATCAGAGAGTTGGTCGAAAGGATGTCTCCGCGGAGGCATAGGCGGTGTGTGAGAAACCGGTCTCCACCGATCCGTGAATGCCGATTACGTCAATGGCAGTCTTCACGGGGAACAACGGTAGAGAAAGGGTCGATCGGAGAGGGTAAGTGAGGCGGTGGGTGCTTGGGGATGGCGCTGTGTGGGGGCCTACTCGTAGACGGGGATAGTTCCGACGAGAACTCAGGGGGAAACGGCGGCGGTGTTTACGGAATTGATCTTGGCTGCAGGGATGGAGCCTGCCTCCGCGGGGGCGGCAGTGGTGGGCGACACTTGAGGATCGATCTTAGTGGAGGTGGCGGAGAGAACCACAGGGATGGGCCTGGCTGTGGCTGAGATCTTCGCTGTAGAGACGGCTGGGCTCCACGTAGTTGCTGGAACGGAGCCGTCCAGGGCGGTGAGCCAAGCCGAAGGGGTGACGGGGACCATGGACCTGGATCGGGGTTTATCGGTGGCAGAGGCGGTGTTCGACGCAGACTCCGTAATGGGGCTGTCTGGGATGGTGTGCGAGGCAGGTGCGAAGGAGGGGAACCCGAGGTTGATAGCAGAGACAGGGCTGGCGGTGGGGGTGACGTAGGTATTGTGCGTGGCGTCGGCGAGGTTCACGGAGACGGTTCCGGCTGCACTGGCACTCCCTCCACCAGAGCCGGGGATGGGGAAGGCGGCGGGGAGGGTCCTCGGCGTAACGGCACGGCGCACCGCGGTCAGCTCGAAGCGGCCACGTTTATGGGCGGAAGCGGTGTTCGCTGCAACGGGTCTGTCTGGGACGGTGTGCGAAACAGCGGCAAGGGCGAGCCCCACGGAGTTGGTTCGGGCTGCAGAGGAGAGGCTGGCTGCGACGGGGGTGAGATAGGTATTATTCGTGGAAAGGATCACGGAGCCCGTTCGGACTGCAGAGGCGGGGCTGGCGGTGGAGGTGACGTAGACATTGAGCGTGGCATCGGCGAGGTTCACGGAGTCGGTTCCGGCTGCAGCGGCACTCCCTCCAGCGGCGGGAACCACGGTGCTGGTGCTAGGCTTACTGGCACGGGGCGCCGAGGCCTGGTCGAGGCGGCCACGTCTCCTGTCAACGGCGGCGGCTGCGATGTTCGAAGCAGACGTGGCAGCGAGGGCGGCGTGCGACGCAGACACCGAGGCGGACTTCACGGACTCGGATCGGGCTGCAACGGGAGCGGAGCCGGCGGGGGCGGTCCTGGGCGTGGAGGCGCGGCGCGCCGTGGCCTGCTCCAGGCGCCGCGTGTGCTCGCCCGAGGGGTCCCACTTGGCCTGCAGCGGCGCCCACAGCTCCGGGTAGCGCTGGCGCAGCAGGCGGATGGCGCGCACGGCCGCGTCGCGCTGGCGCTCCGAGCAGCGCGCGCACCGCGTGGCCAGCGCGTCCGGCAGCACCCCTGCGCACACACGCACACTGGGAGAAAGGCGCGTTCGATGCTGCTAGCATAAAATCAACATATCAAACTTCACAATCGATTCTTCTTGAATTCACGACTACCAAATGTTAACAGAATTCCTTCAATCATCCTGAAAAATTGTAAAAATATTGAACAGGAAATAAAGAATATTTTTAAAAAAAATCACGACCACCGTATCAATTATGGGAATATTTCATGGGTGTTGGTCAATGAACTAAAATCCTAGTTTCGGAACTTTATTGTTCCGTCATCTGAGCTGTGGAATAGATAAGTACACTATTATTACACATGTGTCGTACAATATTACACAGAATACATTCAAAATTATAAGTTATTATAAATGAAAAAAGGAAACACCACAAATAAAAATAATTCTGCTCAACTCTATCATGAAACTCATCTTGCTATACTTGAATGTTGAGAAACATTATACACAAGTGAATCACCACGTGGTATCAAGGATCTACAGAATGGTGAGGTTTCGAGTAAACGTTTATTTGATACTTTGATTCCTTAATTCCACCGCCGTGATGAGGGAACACTAAAGTTCCGAAACGGTAAACTAGGAGTTTAATTAATTGACTAATACCGATGAACTATTCCCATTCATAGAATCAATTTTACAATTCAATTTTCTTCAATTATTTTACTTGCGTAACAGTATTCCAAGCCTTATTGATATTTAAGGTGGAGAATTTCTTCTTGAAATTAGTCAGTCATAGTACATCAAGTCAAAAGTCTTTGCCTTTTATTCCTACTAGCTAGAAGTCCAGATCCGTTAGTATACGGCGTTCCTAGACGGTCACCCGCGGTGTCTGGATCTGTTTAACTTCGGCACTTCACAGAGCTTGCTTAAAACGTTCGGCTACCGACGCAGGCCGATATTTAGAATGTGGCAGCAAATCCCATAAAACAGTTTCTTTTTTAAATTTTACTTATTAAATTTAAAAAAAGAGTTACTATTCTAAAATAAGTTGTTTATAACCGCCTTGTAATATAGACACTCTCTCCAAAATTCCTTACTATTAGAAGAGGCAGAAACCGCATCTGGGAGTTAGAACGTTATCAAAGAAAAAATAATTTTAGGATAGTTTAGGTTTGCGAATAATAGTTTGGCACATATATGTTGCAATATATGTTGCATATATTTTAATAGTACTTATATGGATGTAAATTAATAAGTTCGTCTTCAGCCTTAGAGGAGTCATCTTTTCTATTTATTACTCTTATACGCATTACTTTTTGCCAGAGTGGTATTATACTGCTTCGTTATACCTGACTTGTCTAATACTACAAGCAAATAGTGATTGCATAATTTAATATCTGCATTTAACTGGAGAATGATTAGTATTTACGTAATGAAGTATTTACAACCCGACGTCTGTACGGAGTATAGACTTCGTGACTGACAACTTTTCATAATGAGGGAACGAAAAACGATTCTTCTAAATTTCATAATTTGTGTAATCAAAAACAGGTAGAAACTATGTAAACTAGTAGTGCTAGAACGCATTTAACTTTAATCGCGCGCTTACTAATGGTTATGTAATACTATTCTTCTTCTTTTCTTCTTCTTCTCCATTTCAGGGATTAGGCAGAAGTGGCGCTGTTCCGTCTTCGTCTCTGCACATCAGGGCCGATCTCTTTCTGGGATCGGCCGATATCTCTTCTTCCCTTCGGTTGTAGTTCATCACTCATTGTGGAATACGATCTTCCCCTCCATTCTTTCGATATGGCGGCCGCCATCTTGTCCTGTTTCTACGATCCTTTCATTTATGTTGCGATATATTAGTTCTTTACGGATGTCCTCATTTCTTATCTGTCTTGTTTGGATGCAAGCTTTAACTTTCCTAAGAAATTCATTTCTGCTGCTTGAGCCTTTACTTTGGTCTCTTTTTTTTCATTATCCACGATTACTTCCAATACTAGGGAGAACTGGAAGCAGCCATTGCGTATAGAACTTATCATTTTTTGTGTCTTTATTGCTTTGTTTTCTGTACGTGTTTTCTGTTTATTATCCACATATTGATTGAAATTTTATTGAGTTATTTTTTTCTATGTCTTTATCTGTTCAATAACTGATGTCAACCAAGGAATTAAAATTTGAAGTCTGGTCGATCACTGTGTTGTCAAATAACTATTTTTGAGCGTATGGGGTATTTTAACCGCAATGGGCCATAACTTTTAGTCTTCGTTTTAGAAATTCGGAGATATACTTCTTTACCTTTCCCAGTTGATGCAGTGTGTATACAGCTTTTTGCAGTCATCTCACTTTCTTGCAGTATTGTAACGTCATCTGCATAAAGTAGGACGTTTAGGTGTTTATTCTGCTTCAACTGTAATTCCAGACTAGCTGTGGCATCTCCATTTTTAATAAGGGTCATTCAATTATATATATTCGACTAGTGTTTGGAGATAAACTACTAATCCTTGTTTAAGTCCCCTATGTATTAAATATTTCTTCAGTCTTCTTTATGCTCATATTTATTATACTTTTTTGTCTGTGATACATATTTTTGATGGTTTTTTGTATGAGGTGTTCAGTATAGCCCACTTTCCGTTCATTATGTTCCATAGACTTGTGTCTGGTCCACGTTACAAAAGCTTTCTCGAAGTCAAATAAAGGCTATATGGGTTTTCCTTATTTACTTCTCGGCGTTTTCTAATATTCTTTTAAGACTAAAAGTTTGTTCGTTACAAGAGCGTCCTTTCCGAAATACGATTGTTTTCTTGTAATTTAGCCTCTGCTATAAATTTTCAATCGAGCGTTGAATATTTTTTGCAAAATATTTATAAGCGGCATTCATGAGGCTGATACCCCTGTAGTTCCCACATTCATTTCTCTAGCAGCGCTTTTTTAAAGATAGATATGACCTCTATTATTTTCACCAGCTATTGGCTATCTTATCAGATTTCAGCATTCGTTGAAAAGATAAGGCAGTCCTAAATTCGCTTAGGGGGCCTGCATATTTTATGAGTTCCCATGTTAACTCCATCAGGACCACAATGCCTTCCTGTTTTTATACTGGTTCATACGGCTTGCTTTAATTCATTCCAAGGAGATGAGAAATCCACTGTATTGTTGTAGCCGAAGCTCTTCCTCTTTAGGATTAACAGATTCCAGTACATCACCAAAGGTTTATATAGTGTTTTGCTTCCATTTGTTTCTTCATTGATTATGCGTATATCTGCAACATCTTTCTCGTCTGATTTTAAATGTCTTAAACGGCTTTGTACGCGAACAATTGTCTTTCCATGTATTCATGTTCGATGGTGCTTATAATCTATCCCACGAGTCATTATGTGCAGATCTTATTATTTGTTTAAGCGTTATCCTTTTTTGTTTATATTCTTTCTTTAAGCTTCTTGGTTGTTTTGACGGAATTTTTCATATGATAATCTTTATCTTTTAATGGATTTCGCTATACACTCGTTCCATACTCCTCAGTCCCTTTCTTTTCTTATGCTTTTTTTTCTTTCCTAAAGTTTTCCATATGCTGCCCTCTCTAATGCATTCCTTTATATTCTGCATTCCTTATCCACATCATCAACGTTGGAACACTTGAAGAAATTTGTTGTAATCGAATTTGATATGTCTTTTTTATGCTTTCTGGTTTACAAGTAAGTACACTTTGAAAATTTTCCTGACTTGTCTCTTTCTTGGTCTAATTTTCTTCATTTTGCTACCATTGCTATTGTTCTGCCAAATCACTAGGCAGTGGTCTGAATTATATTCACATCCTCGGTTGTACTTGTACATTCTCTATTTGGTTACTAATTTTATATTTGCGATTAACATAATCTATCAGCTGAATCTGAGGCCTCTAGGCACTCCAGGTGAAACTTGTGTATTTCTTTTCTTGAAAAAGTATTAGCCAATTTTAACTTATTGAACGCTGCAAAACTGTCTAAGGTTCTTCTCCGTTGTTATTAAGTGAGATGTTCTCCAAAATACCCGACAACTTCCCGGAATGGAATTTACAACCTCTGCGTTTAGGTCGCCACAGACGAGGACATGATTTTTTTTGTTTATTTTTGGTTATTTGTTTTTGAAGATCGTCATAAACCGTCCGTGTGTCCTCTTTCCTTCCTTCTTCTGGGCATACACGCCTATAATATGATTAAGTGGCCCTCTCTATTTTTGAATTTGCACGTCACAATTCGCTCATTTACAAAGGAATACTCCACTATCCTATTTTTCCACCTCTTGTTAACCACAATTGCTACCCACTACTTGCCCGTCTATTTTGAGTTACTCCACAGTAGATCATCGTATTAATGTTTCATATCTTTAGTACCTTTCAGCTTTTTTTGGTTTCCGTTATCACAGCTATATCTATTCCTTTTTCGTTAGTTTGTCATCTAGTTCTTCTTCTTTAATTACCTAGCCCTCTGACATTCCAGGTAGCTAGTTTCAGTCGTCCCGTAATACCGAATCGTTTATCCTTGGCATGCTTAAGTCGTTTCCATGATCCATCCAGTTTGTGCATTGTGAAGAGAGCCCAGTAGTTATTGAATACCCTGCGCGTTACGAGCGCTGCGCAGGTTAAGTTTGGTAATGGGGCTGCCACCTCACAGCTTCCAACAAGCTGGGTGGTATTTTGGGCCACGACCCTAGGCGGATTGCCTTTGCTGGGCTCAGAGTTCCGCCTACCCTTTCGAGGACAGTCTCGCCATGTCGAAGCCGAAGATCTACGTCGGAACTTCTTCTTCGTTCAGGTCCTCTTCTTTGGGTATATTCTAAGCCGTTGTCCTCTCCTGGAGTACTTCTTTCGTCTGACCCCTCCCCTTCGACCTGTCCGGCCAGGGAGCCCTACCAGTAGCTACGCTACCGCCGGCATAGCTCTCGGTTCACGGGGGGCACACAAGCTCCACACCACGTCAAGGTCCTGTACTCCCTAGGTGGGGTAATACTATTTATACCACAAATTCTCTCCACATCTCAGTCATCAATTTTGTAAAACGCTTAGCAAGTCATA